AGGGGCCGTGCCCGAGAACCAGGCGGCAAGGCCAGAGAGCCAGCCTTGCTGGCCTGAGGTGGGGAGAGGATGGCGAAAAATGACAGGTCTGTAAAACCCTGCTGGGTCAGAGTCAAGGCCATGGCTGGTGTGTCTGTTCCTCCAGGAGAAAGGCCTACCTTGCCCAGTGCGATGGAGCAGGCGGCCAGGCCGATGAGGCCCCCTTTCCTGCTGTGGGGGTGCTGAGACAGGGCAAACTCCTGAGACAGGGTCTGGATCACATGTTTGATTTGCACGGTGTTGTTTTGGGCCACGAACTCCCGGACCAGCCTAGAGAGAGAGAAGAGAGGGGTTGCAGGACCAGTAGGATCAGGCTGCCCTGGCTGCTGATGACTCTGGGACCTGGGGCAGGGATGAGGCAGGGGGAATGACCTGTTTAGAAAGAGGAATCTGGGGTCAGGCATCTCAGGGCAGGCCTTCCCCAGTTCTGCTGCTGACTGGGAGGTACTGTTGTTTCCCTATTCTGGGTCTCTGTTTCGCTTGTCTACAATGAGACCAGAAACAGTGGAGCAATCTCACTTCATGGAATCTGAGAGAACATAAGTAAACGTCATGCTGGGGGCCAAAAACTGCAGTGCTCCACCATTTTCATTCAACATTTGCTCAGCCCTCCATTCATGCACCAAAGAGGTTCTCTGTGTCTGTCATTATTTCCAGGAATGGCACTGAACTAGGCCCAGGTCCAACAGGCAAGATCTAGACTCAAACAAGTATGTGTAGCAATACAGACTAAGCCACACCGCAGAAGCAAGAATGCCATGGGCAAATGTCTCTGGGCTGAGTGGGAGGTGCCATATGAGTCAGATTTCGGAATCATTAACAAGCATTCTCCTGGTAAAAAAGGAAGGCAGGGGAGCTCAGGCACAGGGAAGAGCCTGGTTAAAGGCAGGGGTCCCTGAAAGGCATAGTGTATTTAGGGGAGGGTGGAGTTTAGCGTGTAGAAGGAATGGCTAGAGACAGTTAAAGGAAAAGATGAGCTGGTGAAGGTTTCCAGTAGTGGGAGTGACACTCTCAGGTCTGTGCTTTGATGTGGTACCTCTGGTGGCATCCTGGAGAGGCTGCGCTGGGGGAGGTGGGCTGGTTTGACAGGAGACTGAAATATCCGCACAGGAGAACACCACAGCTACAGGGTCAGGAAAGGGGCCCAAAATATGACTGAGGCAGTAGGAAGGAGCACCGAGGGACTCTTTAAAATTAAACAGAAAAACATCAGGAGCCCATGTAATATGGGAGAGGACAGGAAGGGGAAAAACACCTGCAAGGTATCTACCTGGGGAGTGATGCTAACAGGGAGAAGTGGGGCTCTCTGAGGGAGGCAAGGCCTGTGGTCACTCTGGGAGTGGATGCTCCCAAGGCAGGCCCTGGCCAAGTAGAGGCAAGCAGAGGGAGGCCCAGCTCCAAAAGGGACCAGTGTCTCTTTCCAGAGCCCAGTGGACACGAAGACAGACACACTGCCCTTCAGAAGCTCATGGTGTCTCTGTGGTAAGAAGCCTCATGTGGGCAAATAGTGGCACGAGGGGCCTAGATAAGTGATGGAGAGCTGTGGCTAGGGTGTCAGGGACGCCTTCCCAGAGTAGGAGTTGAGCTGGGCTTGGATGAGGTGGGGAGAGAAGGAAGCAGAGGTGTTCCAGGAAGGAGAAAACGGTGTGAGGAACTGGGACCAGTCTAGCAGCTGAAGGTATGATGAGGGTGGTCCAGAGATTTCGGACTTTTTGAAACAGCTGCTGGGTCTCACTGTCAAATCTCTCTGTGTCCTTTACGGCAGGCATACTAACTTGCCTATGGCATAAATGGGGAAGTTGGCTCGAGGAATTTTAAGGACAGTCCAGTGCAAAAGGTATCAGTTTGTGTGCTTCCAGCTCAGTGTTAAGAACCTGTCAGTAATTAGAGCTGTTTAAAAGAAATGTGTTGTCCTGTGAGGCGGTGACCACTCCTGTAGAAAGGTTGTTCAATGAGGGGTTTCAGGACTTGATAAGACTCAAGCCAGTAAGTTGTAAGGGGCACCTATACTGTGAGCACTAGTGAACCAAAGAAGCCTGGCTCCTGAGCTGGTGGATGTGGGAGCAGGGATGGGGATTCCAGGAAGGTGCGGCACAAATGGCCTGTGAGGGGCCTCTTGCTTTGATCTTTATAGGGTGTGACTTCACCAAGGCCACTCCAGGGGGCCGAGGGCTATGTTTGAACCAAGGGCCTCAAGTGGAAGCCAGTTCCCCAGGCCCCCACTCTTAAAGCAGGGTAATAAGGCCCAGCAAGGATGGTTCTAAAAAAACCTGCTGGATTCCCAAACTGGACAAACAGACTGGATGAGGCCCAGAGATGGATCATAGCTCCTCTGTAAGCATGGACAGACAGCCCCTTGAGAAAAGGTCTGCAGATGGGTCAGGGAACAGCCGAAGCATTGGTGGTTCAGTGGTAGAATTCTCGCCTGCCACGCGGGAGGCCCGGGTTCGATTCCCGGCCAATGCAGTGCTTTTTCTTTTTTTTTTTGTTGGCCTTTCCTGGCAAGCTCTCTCAGAGAGATCCTGCTGGAGGAGCCAGCTTCTCAACCACACCCTGCCTGCAGCAGCCAAGGGTGCTGTGAATCTCTAAGCACACTTCCCTGCTTTGTGAGCAAGAACAGCAGCTGGGTTCTCCAGAGAGGCACTAATGGCTGTGGGGTCAAGGCCTTCATGTCCTTCACCACTAAGGGGACTCCTGCTGCACCCCATCAGCCCTGGTGAGTCTCTAGCAGGAAGCTGTGGTGAAGCCTGAGAACCATAAAAAAGCTCAATACACGATGTGAACGTGGAATGGGAGGGCCCACACATCAGAAGGAAGGAAGTCACCATTTAAGTCTCAGTGTGTTTTTTGCTACTGAGAAGCACTTGAGCTCTAGTTTCTGTCCTGGGGTCTGATGGCAAAGTAACTTCACACCCACACCCCACCTCCACCCTCACATACCTGCCTTCTCTTGCCTGCTCTGGAGCCTAAGCTGTTCTGGCAGCTGTGCTGATGTGGCAGCATCAGAACATGGTCTTATATTCTGTGAATCAGCAGAGACAAGGAGACTCAGGGCAGGGGTTAAAGGGAGGTGCTCACACAGCTGCTGACAACTGGAGCATTGGTGGTTCAGTGGTAGAATTCTCGCCTGCCACGCGGGAGGCCCGGGTTCGATTCCCGGCCAATGCATCAGCCAACTTTTTCATAATCTTAAAAGACTGGATTTGAGATTTCACCCTGCCCAAAGCATTTGTGAATACACTCTGAGAACTGAGAATTACTTGTCCCTAGCTTGTTTTATATACCTGTTTCCTAAATTCCATAAAGATGTAGAACTTGTGTCCCCTTGCTCTTAAGGGGGGTCACCAAAGCCACTGAAAGCAGGGTGCCTCCCACTCCTGCCCAGACAGCCTGTCCAGGGACTCTGGGGAAGCCAGGCCATGTTTCTGCTCAGTACAATTTAGAGCAGCCCTGGGAATAGGAGAAACAACACCCATGAGGCTTTGGCAGGGGAGCCAAAGAAGCTCTATCCCCGCCAGTAGCACAGACCATCTTGGAACCACCTGCTCGCCTGTCTCCTTGTTTCAGGTCACAAGTGGTCCCTGAGCAACTGGAAAGGGTCCTCCTCTCCATTTGAGAGCCAGCACAGGGACGCATTCCCTGCCCCCTTGAGGGGCTCTTTGCCAGGATGAGGCAGAGGGAAAACAAGAGAGACCTCAAGAACTTTTTTGCGAAACAGAGGGAAAGAAAAAGACCAACCTGGTGAGGAGGGGGCAGGAGAGAGAGCAGGGCAAGCATCTTTGGTGCAGAGGGAATGAGGTGTGGCTTCATGAGGGCCAGCTTTTGATAGGGGTTCTGAAGGATGAGTAGTGTTTGTTCTGTAGCTGTTCAGGACCAGGTAGCCCAGACAGAAGGAACAACATGAACAAAGGCTCAGATGAGGGAGGGAGGCACTTGGTTTGGCAAAGCAAAGGACACAGGTAGGGGAGAGGTGGGTGACAGGGCCGGAGAGGTAGCTCCCAGTCACATGCTCAGCAAAGGAGCTGGAGTTTGCTTCTGGTGGCAGTGAGCAGCCACGGAAGGTAGGAGTGACTTGCAGTGGTGGGTGGTATGGACTTGAACAGCATTTAGGGAAGTTTGAGGACTACAAAGGCTAACAGACATTGAACAGTGAGAAGGAATGAGGAATAGGGCACTAATATCAGGCGACAGCTGGCAACTGTTAACAGGGTCTCCTGACGCAGGGAGGAGATGGACAAGGGGAATGTCTGTGTTCAGCACTCTCCGCCTTCCCTGTTCCCTCTACATCAGCTGGAAGGCTTCCTCCACCTCAAATTCTACAAGGGCACAACTCAGGGAACCTCAGGCCACTACAAACACAATGGCCCTTTCAAGTCCCAGGCCCCCCTTGGAATCCCAAGTCTCTGCCATATGCACTCTTGCACTTGAGGGAAGAACAATGTCCATGGCCAGGAAAAATGGCAAAAAATGGTTGTCTCTGAAGGGGAAACCCTGAGGATGTGTTTTCATCAACATTATCAGCCACGAGAACACTGTGGGTCACACCCAGGGCCACAGCAGGAAGAGCTATCCCACAAATCAAACCCACACTCTCTACGTGACACTCAGGGCAATCTAGACAGGGCCAGCAATCTCTCCAGTCTTACTGCCCGGCTTCCCAGCACAACCTTCTGCTCTAGCCAGATCCACCTCCTTGCTGGGCCCTGCTAGTCTACTCCTTCGACACCTCCTGTGCGCTCCACTCTCGGGGAAAGCTCCCACTCATTTCCACATCCTCTCCAGCCTTCGAAGTCCAGCTTAAATCCAACCCCCACTTTCCCTGACCAACCCAGGAAGGATCACTACTTTGAAAGCTGAAGGACTCAGTGACCCCGAATCCCATACCCAGCAATGTAGCATCGAATGTCATGGATTCCTTCTCATGTGTTTCATGTTTCCAGCTCCACGTCCTTGGTAAAGTCCTTGAGGACAGACTAATGCCATGATTCTCTGCCTGTCTAGTGCCAGCCCTCTCCCCACTTCTACATCTCTGCACACGCTAAGTGAGGAATCAGTAAGCATCTGCCTAGGGACTGATCTATGCAGGCTGGTGGGGCTAAAGGACCAGTTGTAGAGATACAGGCAGGTTCCCTGTGGAGGGAACCAGTTGTAGAGATACAGGCAGGATAATGTGGAGGGTGGACTGCTGATCTACATCTAACTTGTTGCATAAATTAGAATTGTATTTGGACAGGTCTAACCTCTAGTTCATAATTCAAGTTAGCGGGGAC